ATATCCCAAATATGAAAAAAGGCTGAATGAGTTTGAGTTGCTCAGGAAGATACTGTTTTTCACTTCCATCAAGCTGGACTAGCAGGAAGGTGAGGGAGAATCTGCTTGGCTGTGTCTCTCCCCAGTCTGCTTTGTTTCCTTATACACAGATCATATCCTCAGCTGTTGCAGATGAGTTTAACCTCAGGACCTTCTTGATGCTCTCACAGTGTCATAGAAAGCAGCCCTCTGCACTCCAGTCAAGAGTGGGAGTTATTCCTAAAAATATGAAAATTAGCTTTTAACTAGACATAAAAGAGTTCTTATTTGACAGACATTCTTCTGTGGTCCTGCTGGAGTTTCGTTTTCTTGTCTGAGGCAAGGACACAAGCAGGCAGTGCTTGGAGTTCAGACAACCGTGAAAAGCCCAGTATTTAGCAGAAGGGGGTGTATCTGCTTCCCTTAAATGCAGCAAAAAGAGGTGGCTCAGAAGAGAGCTGCTAGGTACCAAGACTGGCTGTTCAGCAAAGCACCCTGTTCTCAGCTTCCTAAAGATGCATGACTCAAACCAGCTCTTCTCAATAAGCCCAAGTGCTTGGCCCAGCAGCTGCAGGACAGCCTCAGTTTGTGCCAGTGGAAAGGAGCACGCCAGCTGGGGCTGTGGAGGCTCGCATCAGGGGCTCGCAGGGCTTTGCTCACAGCAAGGCTCACAGCCTTGCACTACTCTGAAACAGTGCAGGACATGGTTGAACCATTCCCCTTCTCTTCCTCATCTTTCTCCTCTTCCTCCTTCTCCTTTTCCAAGTGCTCAGTTGTCCAGGGTGGCTCGCAGTCAAACCAGAAAGCCCCTGAGAAGCTCACACTGTGGGGACAGCCACTGGTCCCTTGAAGAAATCCACAGAGGAGCCTTTTCCTTCACCATCTAAGCCTGCAGCGAAGAGCTGCACAAGCCCATGATGCCAATTAACACAAACTGCTTATGAGTGAGGACATCATGCATAGCTTCAGTCACCAGATGAACATGACTTTGCACATCCTTTCTCCTGGAAGCATCTTTTTGTAAGCAGGCATCTGTCACTGAGTAGACTTCCATAAATTGATCCGAAGACGTTTTCTTTCTTCTTTTAATTCCTTGTTTCTTTAAGCCAGAACTGATGCAAAAGAAGAGCAAAAGTCAGAGCTGTCACTCCCGATCTGATGCAGGGCACAGAATGAGTTGTCCCACAGAGGAAGAGAAAGGTGGAAAGATTTTCCCATCTCCTTTTTTGAAGGGAAAAATCTTCAAGAAGCAGAAGCTCATCTTGTGGCACAGATGTCAGAGCTCCTGGCTGGGAAGCAAACAGCCTCTGCGGGCATTGTGGTTTCATACAAAATTGACCATTGTTTCTCTTCCGTACCATCAAAATTATTTATCAATTCAAAGCATTTCCAGGAGAAAGAGGGGAAATGTTTGCACATCCTTTTCCAGCCAACTCTCCTTAAACCACTTCTGAACTAAGAATGCAGAGACATAAGCTTGCAAAAGGCTTTCAGAGCTCCTGACAAGTTTTGTAGGGAGAGGAGAGGAGAGAAGAGGCGAGGGGAGGCGAGGGGAAAAAAGGAAAAGTCTATTTTAAAAAGTTCATATATGTGTTAGAAGCCAAAACATCCCTTCATTTGTATGAACACAAATCAGCTGCAGCAGCGGTAGTGAAAGGCAAACTCGGTCTTAAATGCTTTGTTTTACAGCTAATTTAAACATTTGAACGTAATGTACTTTGTGATGCTTATGAACAAAACCACAGTTGCGCTACCAGCTCTGAAGAGCTCTCACTGTCTGCCTTTCTGCACTTCATAGGTTTTATATGTCACTGGAACATCAGATAATGTGGTGCAACACATCTGCTTTGTATGTCGAGCATCACCATGCTGAAGCTTCAGCTGTGGCAGTACAGATGGAGTCTTGTGGTGCTTGGTGAACACTAACCCAGCCCCAGCTGGTACTGGAGATGGCCCTAAAAGGGCTGTAGGTCATTTGCAGGGCTGGAGGAACATGGAACATAAATGAGTGGGGCAAAAACTGGGGGTAAACCCAGGTGGATATTTGTACCTGTTGGACGTGTGATGCTTCCAGCCTGTCCCTGACACCTGGCTGGCTGCAGGGATGTTCCCCATCATGTTCCCTCATTGCGGGCAAAGGGGACAGGTTACCTTCCTCATGCAGGGAGATAACATGGTGACACCATGCAGGCAAGCACTCAGGGCTCCCCAGCTGGAGGGATGCTGGGCTGCCTCTGCAGCCTGCTGGGCAGAGGTGCCCCTGGGCAAGGAGACAGGCATGTCCCACTCCAGATTTTCTTTGGTCAGGGCTTTCTAAAGTTAAACCACATGAACTGTAGCATGGGAACACAGAAATGGCATTAAAAAACAGCAGCTCTAGATATGTGGAGTTGTAGTAAAACTGCTGCAGTAAAGGTGGGCTTAGAGCAGGATGAAACAGTTTAACAAAGCAGGGTAACTCCACCCAAACATGCCCTTCCTCTCAGGGATGTCAGAAGGCGCACTTTGTCCCGCGTAGGGGCAGAACCCCATGTCCCTGACAGCAGTGTAGCCCTTCTGCAGTCTGATTTGCAGTTATGGAAGCACAGGGTGAGAGCAAGGCTCGATAGCACTGGTTCATGAAGGGTCAAACTGCTCTGCAGCTCATCTCCTGATTTATTAGGAAGCTGTTCTTTCTTCTCCCATTGCAAGGGGAAGATCAGCAGGCAGGAGAAGTAACACATCGTAGATTCATAGGCTCACACTGACATTTCATGAACAGCAGAGAAAGGACAAAATGCAAAAAACCCCCAACCTGGCTCCAAGTTGATGATTTACACTGTTTTCTCAGGGTCTGTTTGCCAAGCAGCTGGTGTTTTGTGCCAATGGCTATTACAGAAGAGCTTTCTTTGATAGAAGAATGTGAATGAACACTACACAGTTTATCTTAAAACAAAATCCTCCCCACTGCTTATATGGGCTGGTAGGGAATGAGGGAAAGAAAAACTTAGGCTTTGTTGGTTTCTTTACGTAGGACTGAAAGCACATTCGGGGGAGCCTGCACTATCTGTGCAAAAACACAACAGATGAATTCTATTAATGGATGGAACATGTGGCTGGGTTCAAGCTAGAGTTGTCATTTGAATATAGAAGTCAAAGCCAATTTATTGTAACATATTTTTCTTTTCAAAATATTTTAGGAAAGACAAAAAAGTTTGCGCAACAACTTGGCAAGCAGGTCTGTTGAGAGGAGGTATTTTCTATCTTGCAGCTAACATAAGGGCTGAAAAATGTGGCAGTGCCGAGCAATCCTAGATTCCTTCTGGAACTGAAAGAAAGTGTGCAGGATATAGTTGTGTAAGAGCCCAATAAATTTGAAGGGTGGGTTTGTAACACTGCCTTGGGGGCTGCAGGTGGCTCCAGAAGAAAGTCAAGGTTTATATTTCAGTAACAGTCTTTGAATAGTTTATCTAACTAGCTACGCACTCATGTGGCCCCATCTAGAAGCCACTGAGTTATTTTAAAATAGAAATACCCATAACAATCACTGTGCTTCTTCCATGCCAGATGGTAAAAAGATAAGTGGGATTAGTCTGTACTGAGTCTGTGTGCTACTGGGGAGGGGAGGGATGCAAAAGCTAAGGCACAGGAATGAGCTTTCCTGGAGTTTCCAAAGCACTAAACATCAGTGCTCCATGGTCTTCAGGGCATGGGTAGGCTAGCAGTCCTTGTTTCAATGTTGGTCAGCCTGTATTTGCCCAAATGCTCTGGGGGACAATGGCCGTGAAGCAGAGCTTTACTAGGATGGTAGCCCAGATCCTGGCTCCGCATCTCGGTATTGAACGAATCGCTGCGCAACAGGGAGCATCAGACTCCTGCTGTGGGGTCTTGTGTTGCAAGGCAAAAATGCTGCTGCCTCTTAGGTAATACAGAGTTGTGTGGTTGGTTCTTATGGTGAATTGCAGCCGAGTGGGGTCAGAGAATGGAAGTGTCTTCTGAGTGTTGTGACCTCTTCAGTGTATCCCATTTTCTTTGTAGCTGTGTGGCTAAGAAATACATGGGTATCGAGTGATCCAATATAGGCTGAATATTTTTGTGTGTGTCCTGAGAAACATACATTTGGTTAAGTCCCAAGGACTAAACACTGCTGGAGCAAGTAGGCAAAAAACACATTGCTGCCAAGGGAAATAATGGCCAAGAGAGAAGAAGCAGCATATTGTCATTCCATGTACATTCTCATCTCGTATGAGCATGATTTGAGTCCTCATGTACTTTCCCCACTGCCTTCTAAGATGACTTTTTGCCATCCCTTCATTATGGAGCTGCACACTAGGAAGAGGAAGTAGATCAAGATCCCTCACAAAGACCAGAGAGACTCTAAAACACTCTTCAAGGTCCTTCCCAGTTACACCTTTATTTCACTGAGGAAACTTATACACTCTAAGCCTATTTAAGTGTGTTACTAATGGGATTCAATTAGCAGTCTCTCAGAGATTGCTCTTGTCAGGGAGATGATGGGACAAATGAAAGCAGCACCATTCACCCTACTGTGAAGTATTAACTTCCCACCCCTGTATTTTCTAAGAATAGATGCCACTTCTACCAATAAGTCTGCAGCTTCTTGCTGCTGTTCACCAGATGGTAGGAACCAGCAGACGCTGAGTTTGTTCCCATGTGGTCAAACAAACTGCTGTACAGCCCAGTGTACGTTTCCTGAAAGATCGCCACGACAGCTCTGTTACCTCTGTTAACGTTTCCCAAGCTCCTGGTACTATATTGAGGTTTTCCACTGGAACCACCTGGCACATTGTCAGAGTCTTTCCTGAGGGATGAAGTTACTCAGTCCTCGGTTCTTACTTTGTCATAGCCTTTGTATCGGTCACTTGTACTGAGAGTCTGTGGGCTGTGTCCTGAGCTTCAGCTAATTACATGAAAAGGATTATTTCCTTTTCTTGACACTTGTTATTATTTTCATCCTTCACGAGCCTTTTCTTCTGTTTCAGGAACAACATTCTGTGGTAGGCCAGGGAGCTGGCCCCACTCCAAGCTCCAGTTCTTGCTCAAATCCAAACACTGGAAGTGGTTACATGAACTCATCCCAGCAATCATTGTTGAATCAGCAGCTGATGGAAAAGAAACAGGCTCTGCAACGGCAAATGATGGAGCAAAAACAGCTCCTTCTACAGCAGCAGATGTTGGCAGAAGCTGTAAGTTTACTAGTTTCTTATTTTACATGGAAAATATTGTCATAAAAACAATAGAAAAGAAAGATAAGACAGGGAGAAGAAAGGCCCCTAAAACTTCAAGGTTGTTTTGGCAGTGCCTAGAACTTCAAGAGCGCGCCTTGTATTTTTCAGCACTTTTCTACGCCTTTTTGAAACCTTCTTCAACCTGTATGAAACAAGTTTCGAAACTACTGCAGTTTCATACAAGAACAGTCCAAGCATATGCTTGGTTTTGAGACATATGAATATTGTCCATGATTTTCTTTGCAAGATAAACCAAGGTGCACTGCTATGCTACTTTCACCTCAGAGGAAGGTTTACTTCCAAGATCTGTCACCGAGGCAGCGTAGTGTAAAACGCCTGTTGTAAACCAGGATCAGGTGCCTTGATTTTGGGATTCAACACAAGTTTATGTGCTTCGCTGGGATCGCATATGAATCCTACATTCTCTGGTTTTATTTTTGCATTTCTAGGTATCTGTAGCAAGTTCTCTGTCCTTTGGTATCTGAGAGACTAGTTGGGAGTTTCTGGTCATCTTAGGAGACATGGGGGATTCTATAAAGGAAATATTTCTTGACTTTTTGATTCATGCAGAAGAAAAATTAAGTTTAAAGTCAGCTCTCTGTGCTGCAGTTTTCTGTCAGAACTTTTAGCAGAACAAAAACTTAATTGCTCAAATAGCTTCTCTTAAACAAAATGGAAATTTAATCAGCTTGGCTCTGCTTTTGTATTGTGTGCACAGAAATACACATAAAGCTTGCCTACAGTTTTTACATGAATTGCAGGGATTTCATGGGAGTCTGTCTTCCTCACAAGGATTCAGGTTGAGCAGGATATAAAAACAAACCTTACAAATCTTAATCAAAGCCCTCCCTCCCATCATGAATTATGGAAATTCTGTAAATAACACAAGAAGGGGTCTTCTCCCAGTGTTTTTAAGTGCTCCTGGGAGAAGAAAATTGTCATTGCAGGCCCTCAGCCAGGTAATAATTGGCATTGACTCCATGATTCTCAGAAGGCCAATCTATCATTTTATTATACTATACTTATTAAGAATCCCATCACACTCACAGACAGTCAAAATACAGGTGGATCCAATTGGTCCTTCAATCTAAACACCATCACCATTGGCCAATTAAGAAATCACTCTTTGGTAAACAAATCTCCATAACACATTCCACATGTTCACAACAACAGGTGCAGCAAGTGAAGACAAGAATTGTTTATCATTCTTTCTCTGGTCTTCTCACATCCTTCCCTAGGACAATGTCTGGGAAAGTCTGTGCCTGCTCTCTGTGGCCAGAGATCTGCTGCCACAGAAAATACAGGTTTTTCATTAGAAAGTCCATATGCATGCTGTTTTGAGGCAGATTATCCCCATATTACTCCGATGGACTTGCATCAGCAGCCAGGGCCTTTTTCATACTGACAAGCTGATTGTCCATTCTGGCAGTTCAGCCCAAAACCTGTGCACATTGCAGAAGAGGTGTGATGCTGTCCCAGCAGCTGTCTAGTAAAGGCACATGTGCACCAAAGTCACAATTTCCTGCCATGGGGCCACTGATTACAAGGAACCATGTCTTGTGGGTGAGCAGTAGCACCCTGGAGGCATCAAGCCACACTGATGCTGATGAGAGATTTGGCATTGACTCTGTTGCCTGCTCTTTCCAGATCTTTTATGAGCACAGAGCAGTCAGTCAGATTTCCGTTCAAGGATTTGGGTTTTTATCTTCCTCTCACCAGAGACATGTCCCTGGCAAGCTCAAAACCAAAAAAATCTCCCCAACTAATATTTTTTTCCTGGAATCTTTCCTTGCTGTCCTTGTCCCAGCAACTGGGAGTTCTTGTACTCCCAATGTAAGAGGAAAGACAGCACCTGGTACATGTACAGGGAAGCACAGGGCAATGGAAACAGCCAGGCCAGCACCATCCTTGCTAAACCATGTGTCCTGCTGGTATCCCTACTGAGGAGAGCTGGGGGGAGAAAAAGCAAGGATTTTGTTGGGTTTCATGGTCACCACTCCAGTGTAGGAAGGCAGAGTGAGAGAGGGATGGGCATTGCTGTGGATGGAGATGACAAGCTGAAGCTGGAATACATTTTGTAGTGCGGTGCAGACATGGATATTGTTCTCAGAGGCTGAGAGGAAAGTTGAACCAGACTCAAACTCAATGCAACCAGCAAAAAGATTTCCATATAGACTTCAGTAGGTGATAGCACAGTTTCACATGTGACTGTCCTGTGGACCAGACAGTGAAAGGAAGAAATGCTTCCGTTTTTTACCTACTGAGAAAAGAAAGAGATTGGCAAATCACAGATGCAGGAAAGCATAAAGAAAAGCAAATTAATGTAGTTCTACTCTAATCCTCTAGGAGAAAATAACTCCGCAAGACCAGCTGAACAGACACTTGACAAGACCACCACCAGATTATAAAGACCAAAGAAGGAATGTGGTCAACATGCAACAAGCAAACCAATATCCTGGTAAGTACCATGGGCTCAATGCAACTCTTTCCTTTCTTCCTTCCTTCCAGATGGAAGGCCACCTGTAAGAAACATGGATGGGATGACTGGGGCATGATTTTCTGGATACCTGCTTCCATCAGTGCAGAGGCAGTGAGGGGTGGGTGCTGCCATCCTGTGCTATTTACCTCACTGTCCTGCACCACTGAGAAGTGCTGGTGTATGATCTGGTGCTTCATCCAGGCTGACACTGCCTCTCTCAGACATGGGGATGGAGGATTTGATACCCCTCCCATTAGCACTGTCTGGGGCAGATGTGCACCCAAATACCTGATGCAGAGATGTCCTCTTGACTATGTAATCTCGCTGTGTTCAGATGCTTCTCTCTCTGATCTTGGCTCAGAGACTGAGATGAGAACCATCCCTCCCTTCAAATGGCAGTTCATGTACAGTGTGAGGACCCTCATATAGATTTTTAAGTACCCCACATGGCACTATCACAGGTGGTGCTTTTGGTCTGTTTAATAGGCCATGATTGTGGCCTTAGTGCTGCTCTACAAGCAGTATTTCAACAGATCAGTCAGACAGTAGATCAAGAGTCCCTGCTTTCTGCCAGAACTGCCCAGGCCAGGAAATGCCCAACACTTCAGAACTAGTCCTTCACTACAGCTCTTGTGCCCTGACCTCCTGGGACAGTCTAGTTTTTGAAGCACAGGATTGTTTGTTTGGCTTTTCATACTGTTCACCTTGCTGGATGGCTAAAAGCCACTCAGAAAGCAAAGGCAGAGTAAGGAAAAAATGCTGAGGAGAGAGAAGGTGGGAGAAATATAGCAGATGGGATCAAAGGATGTTTTCTATACTGCAAAAGTGTTTGTGCATGCAAGTATAAAAAGAATTCTTTGCCTTCTAGTATATTTTTGTATGCAACATGCTAAAGAAAAAAAAAGAAGTTGGTTCTTTTTGTTTTTCCATAATTGGCTTTGCAGATTCAGCCAGTGATCTGAGTCTTTCCTTCTTACCTGTCCTTTGTAGCACAACTTTTTCAGCTTCTATTATGATTTTAATGAGCTCTGAAGTGCAGCTTACTCACATGCCACCCCCCTGCCCAATCTGCTGGCTATGTGGGACACCCAGCCCAGCTCTGTAGGGATGGGCCAGGTTGGGCTGCTCAAGCAGCATTCATGCACTCCTTTGCTCTGCTTACAAGTTCTAGCAGTGATAAGCTTGCTGCAGCCTGGAAACTGCCGCTGGAAACTGCTGCTTTCCCATGGACCTGGGTGTTAATCTTCTCCAGTAAACTGGCTCAAGCATCCCAGTGTAATAGCCCACAGTGAGAGCCCAGCTCGCTAGCTTGGTACCTCCTGTACTTCCAAAATAAATGCTTTGGCAATCCCAGCAGTTTGTTGAGGAATCTTGTGATTTGGTGTGTTGTTTAATGGTTTATTCCTGGAACCAAATGATTAACGGAGACTCTTGGCTTTTACTTAAAAACAATCCATTTCTAGCTTGAGAGAGAAAATGGAAGTGAGTGCAGCCACATGTGTGAAAGGCTCCAAAGTGAGTAGATCACCGTCATTATGTGGCGGCTCCTGTTGTTGTTAATCTGATGGAGTCTTTGCCAGTCTTGTGGTATTTGGAGTCCCATCTCCTCGGTCTGAAACATGTGGGAATGGCAGCACTTGTCCATTCAAATCTCAAGTCCCTGCTGAGTGAGCCCCAGGAGGACAGCGGCCTTTCAGACAAGCCTAGGAGAAAGGGCTGTGCTGGGAGCTTCCAGCAAAGGTACCAGAGGGAGCCATTAGGAAACTCTTGCATAAGGAAGTAACAGCAGGGAAACTGTTCCCTTTTTCTGGGAATAGCTTTGCTCAGATCAGGGAAGAAGAAACAAAAAGCTAAATAAAATTGCACAAGCCGGAGAAACTTGGTTGAGTATTTTATTTCTCTATACTTTTCCTCACAGTGCCATGCCATGGCAAGAAACCCCCAAGAAAGGAGCAGGTGAATTGGGTAGGGAAACTTTGTCCAAATTGCCATAGCCTGGGGTGCCCAGCTGCTGTACACCGTGCTTCTAGGGAAGGCATTTCTTCTCATCTGTAAGAAATAAGAATGGAAAATACTTGGGTTAAAAATAAAACCATAAAAATAGCAAAACAAAGAAAGATGAAGCTTTGTCTTTTGGCAGCAAGTACAACCCCTTCCCAAACACTTGTGTTCTTTAAAAAGTGTAGCAGTTGCAAGGGCGGTGTGATGGTAACCCTGGGGTCTCCTCAACAGCTGACAGGGTCACCCCAGGAGTGGCTTCATCCCAGTGGCAATGAAGTGACAAATCTACAAACTTGTTGAATCTACAAACTTGTTGTTCAGCTGGAGGGAGAGAACCATCTCTTGAAATGCCACTGAATTCTGTACCATTCCTCCTCTTCAATATGACCCCATGGGAGCTAAAAATCAGGGACCCATGACTATCATCCCTGAAAAAAATGACAGGACCACAGAAAGTTTTGGGTTGGAAGGGACCTTAAAGATCATCTGGTTCCAAACCTTCTGCCATGGACAGGGACACCTGTCACTAGAACAGGTTAGTCAGAGCCCCATCCAACCTGGCCTTGAATACTTTCAGGGATGGGACATTCACAAGTCTTTCACTAGTCCCATGATTCACCACCCTTGAGTAAATTTCTTCCCTATGCCTAATCTAAACCTATCCTCTGTCAGTTTAAAGTCATTCCCCCTTGTCCTGTCACTGCATATCCTTGTAAAAAGTCCCTCTCTCTCTCTCTCTCATGTAGCCACCTTCAGGTGCTGGAAAGTACCAGATCACCTCAGAGCCTTCTCTTCTCCCATCCCAGCTCTCTCAGCCTGTCTTCATAGGAGATATTACAGTTGTTCCAAAAATGCAGAGCCCAGCAGCACCAACTGAGCACTGATTGTGGGAATGTGATTGTCCCTGTTGGGCTAAAACCAGGTGGACTCCCCATAGCATATCCTGTCCCAGGGGCTGCCCAGCTCAGGGACTGAATTTAGGTGCTTAAGTTAGGACAACACAATTCTTAGGATAATTGGAGGCTGTTTGTGGAACAGGCTGCCTTCCAGGATAGGGGGAGCTTCTTAATTTAGGTGTCTATGTTTATACTCATGTGAAACAAGCACTCTGGTTGTGGAGTCACACTCAGTGTTAATAATGATTTGGGAAGAGTTTTTTTGGGGTTTTTTTTAAGTCCTTAAGGAAAAAAATGCATCCTTTGCATCCATTATTAAATGGAAATAGCATATGTATAAAAGTAATGCAGAAAAAAACAGAAATATACAATTTTTTCTTTGGTTCCAGTCTGTGGGAGCTGAACATCATTATGGTAAAATTTTAACAGGAACAGTATAATAAACAGCTGTTCCTAAACATAGACTTTTAAAATATATATGCCCATGACTTGTCTAAAAGAGTTTTAAAAGAGCTGGCTGAGAGGTTCTCCAAATTCTTAGTGTCACCTTTTATTTAGTCTTGAAACACCAAGGGAGACTGTTAATGCCATGATAAAAATTAAAAGTCTAAGTAGGTAATAGCAGCCCTAGTAGCCTAATGCAGAGCCAGAAAAACAACTGAGGAGCAGATACAGCCCAAATAATAAAGAATTTAGGAAGGGGAAGATGTAATTAATTTCAAGCAACATGAGCTGATGTTAGAAGAATCTTTCCAAATTTGCATGGTATCTCTTTCAATGAACCCACAACTTAGAGGCAATAGTTGTTCAGGTTATGTCCCTTAGAGCATCTGACTTCTTACTGCCTATTTTGGTTAATAAACATGAGTGACACAAAATTAACATAGGTCAAAAGGAAATGGCTGACAGGTCTCCAGATATCACTGTGAGCAGGCTGTGTGATTGAAACTGGATAGGCAAACATTGTTTGAGATTATGCTGAACTGGAAAAATAGAGCTTACTTTACATCCACATTGGAGATGTGCAAAAGTTATTACTGTGGCCAGCTATGATATACAGCTCTGAAACTGAACATCAAAAACTGTCAAGTTCTGAAAGGAGCTCCGAAGGACCAGAAAACATGCCACACTCTGAGACTGAAGTATTTAGAGAATGCTGCAAGCATGACACAGTCTTGAAGCACTGTATAGTAGGAAGGAATTTATGATGGACCAACTAATAAAATTCATCACGCAGACCAATATATAATAAGATTTGGTGATGAAGCCAAAGTTAGTCAAATTCCATCTGGTTTTGCCATATGTACAAAGGATCAAGCCAAGGCAGTGTCTCATGCCCAGCAATTGCTATTAGTTGCACCCTATGAAATAGCAAATCTCCTCCTTCCTCCTCTGGGAAAGGCTCAGAGAATTCCTGAAATGCAGTGGTACCTTGGTAGCAAGCTCATTTGACAGCTTTTCTCACACTTTGGGGGCCACCCAAAGAGGTGTGAGAATTTAGCTTCTACTATTCCATGTGGCACAGATTTCCTCAGCTGACCCACACATTGTGTGAAGAAACACCTCCTTTCGTTTGCCTTGAACCTGATTTTTTCAAGCTGTGCTTCTTGTAGGGTTTGTACTGGAAGCAACAGTAGCAAAGGGAATTACACTGTGGAGCAGCTGATTGTATACAGAGAGTGTTCTCTACAGTGCCTACACTGGCTGTGTTTAAAAAGTGGTTGGTCTTTTTCAACCAGTCTCTCAGGGACTAATTCGGTCTTGCATTGCATAAGCACTGAGACCTCATGGTGTAAATGACCTACTGTGGCCTCAAACTAGAGGCTGTGTAGCCAAAGGAGTGGGCTTGTGTTGAGGTTTGGCAGTTGAAGGCAAGAAAATCCTCTCTTCTTGTCATCCATTGGCAGATGTTAAGTACAGGAAAATCCTCCATTGGGCAGAATCAGCCAGGAATGACAAATTTGTGCCAACTAGTAACTTGTAGTTTTCTGATGCACAAAAGGGGATGTTCAGGTGCAGCAAGTGCTGGCACATCATGTGTTGCTCCCTCACTTGCAAGTCTGTTACTGCAGGGGCAAATAACCATAGCTCAGCTGGGAAGAGAGTTTAGAAAGGGCATGTGTGGGGCACAGCAGGCACAGCACCAAGTCATGTCCTCATGCCCGCTTGGCCACCACGTGGGAGGACAGGCAAGTCACAGACTGGACTAAGCTCCTGTCCCGGCATATGGCTGAAATGTGTGAGGTGCAGTCTTGGCTCCTGCTGTCATCTGGGACAGACATTCCCAGAAAAAAAGGATGGATACTGCTGCTGTAGGTGTCTAAGAAAGGTGGAAAAGAAGCCTGATGAAAGTGCCTCTCGCTCCCCATTGTCACTAGAGTCAGGATGAGCCATGCCCTGTAAGGAAAAGTTCTTGATCTCTGATCACTTAGAGAGGCTTTGTCCTGTCTGATGTGTCTAGTGCTTCTGTAAAGGAAGGCAGGAAAGTCTTCTCTCCTACCCAATGGTTCTGTCTGTCCATCCCTGCTCCAATATTTCTCTTACAGTGAACACCAGTTTTGGCTCATGTGCTCCCCTCTGAAGGGATGGAAAGCCCACAGGTAGTTTAGTATAGACCAAACCACCCTTTGGATGATAGGCATCTTCAAGGCCTTGAGCAAGTTCATGTAAGTCCTCTTAAGAGCAAAATGTCTTCTTCAAGAAACTCTGCTCATAGAAAACTGGATTTTTGAGCTGTTGGTATTAGAATGACACCACATATTCATGCACCCACACTTGTTGTAACACTTCTGTTTTCTTCCTTCCAGGTGGTTCACCAGCTGTGAGCATGAGCTCCAACAACATGTCCTTATCCAACCCAATTTCAACTCATAGCATTATGCCCCAGAGCTCCAGCCTCATGTCCACCCCTGCTGGAACCCGAATGCCTTCTGTCCCTGCTGCTCGGAGTATGGGCTGCTACGGGAACCTTCCTTGCAACCAACCAAGCACATACAATGTGACTTCAGGAATGAACCAAATGCAGCCACACAGAAACCAAAATCAAGTTCTGCCCAGTCAGAATAACCCCATGGTGTCTCGACAGCAAACCATGACACAGGGGAACAACGGGGCAGCTTTTGCGACGGGGTCAGTGGTCAACTCTCAGCAAATAAGGCCAAGCTTGACCCATGGAGCAACAGGTATCCCTGCTCAACGGCCGGCCAATGTGATGATCACGGCTACTGCCAATGCCCAGAATTGGGCCCCACAAGAGGCTGCAGTGAAGCAGCAGGATGCACTGAAACCTGCAGGGGTCCGTTTCCCCACCGGCACTCCGTATCCTAACCAGTCTTTGCAGCGCAGCGTAGGCAACCAGCATTTTCCTCAGCGTGCATTGGCACCTCCTAACCAGTTAACGGCAGGAGTCCAAATGAGGCCCCCTCTAAACCAAATGCACCAGACTCTAAATGGACAATCTGCTGGCTCACTACGAGGGCTCAGCATAAGACCTAATCAGCTGAGAGGACAGACTGTGCCTACCTTGAATCAGCCAGGAACAAGTATGACACCGCCGTCATCTCTGCCATCAACTGGTTTCACAAGTACCAACCAAACCTCCCGGGCTTACCAAGGAAGTGACCATGGTAATGACCTAGCGTTTGACTTTCTGAACCAGCAAGGTGACAGTATAGGACCTGCGCTCAACAGTGACTCAGATTTTATAGACTCTTTACTGAAAACAGAACCTGGTAATGATGACTGGATGAAAGACATCAACCTCGATGAAATTTTAGGGAACCACTCGTAAGTGACAGTACCAAGAGGGAACCAGATGAAGAGGCAGCAAGGACATTAGCTTTTTCTTTAGATGCCAACAACCTGCTTCATTAACTTACACTCCAGTAACTGGGCTGTCCTTTAAAATACAACATAGAGCAACTGCCCTGTTTGAAGAGTAGCTCTAGGAACAAACTGAAGAGACAGTGTAAGTGATATTCCTGCCTGCCACAAAGGAGTGAAAGCATGTGAAGGGTCTGGTCCCCACACCTGTGCCCAGCCCATTGCAAACTCATTGGTTCTTCTCAGAGGGGCTCCGGGAAAAAAATGTGTTTATCTTCCCATACATGGAAGCACCAGACAGTGGTATAAGCTGTGGAACATCATTTCTCTGAGTGCAAGTAAGTCCCTAAGAGATCCACAGCTCTTCAGTCATCATGTTCACAGCCCTTAACTTCCTTGGGACTGCTCAGCCCTGACAGCATCAAGCCCTGTGTGACTCTTACGGCGTTACAAAAACTGTTTACTTCTGCACAGTACAAACTTACATTTACTTTCCCAAAAGCAAACATTTTTTATAAACAAAATGTTATAAAATGATTTTGTTATAAACCCTGTACCTTTTGTAGCACACAGCAGGGTAAGTGGTCTCATCCAAGGGAAGAAGGAAACAGATCATCCAGTGTGTTACTTGGTGTCCTCTAGCATTTTTGTTCTCCCTTTCATCAGTGTTTGCAGTGAATATTAGAGGATGCTGCTCTCCTGCCAGCAGCACAGTCATTCTGGGCATTGAGGGAAACATGAGATGAACTACTACCAAAGCTCAGGATCCTCACTTTGCCACCTTGCCCTTCCCCAGGGACTCCAGTGACTTAATAGAAACTTGAGTGAGAGGATGCTCATGATTTGTCCCTGACTACTCTCTCAGTCCAGCTTAGAGGAGGGCAAATACCTAAAGTCGTTCAGCTAAGCCACTGTCCTTGTTTTCATCTCAAATCATGGCGAGTATCAATCAGGTAGTTCAGCCCAATCTTCTCTCAAACAGGTTTAGCCCAGACAAAATGCCAACATCTACCTGCCTGGGGAGAAGCTGCCATTTTGATTGCACAGCATTTTGGTTCCATCTTGTTTTCTCCTTCGCCATAGTGGGGGAATTGAAAGAGTTCTGGTGATAGCTCAGGTCCCCACAGCCTCTCTCTGGAGTACAAGAGGCTCTGCCCCTGAAACTAGTATGCACATCAATTATAACTCACAGCAGGAAGCTCCATCAGCCACATCTGTGCTTGTACATGAAACAGATCTGGGGATTATTTCTGGGCACTGGACTCAATCATCTGTTATGAGCTTGGGAATGGACCAGCTAATATTGCCCTGAGCAATTTCTGTGTATCACTAGGAAGATATACTGGGGCAAGGACCATTCCCATGAGCAGTTTGCATCCACCTTGCCTTGAAGGCTAACAGAGCAGAGCAGCAAGGGCACAGGCTGTCCCACACCTGCCAGGAAATAGTCTTGACTATATAAAAATTTTTGCTATAGACTTGGTCAGTAATGGCATCAGAAGGATATGCTATGTCATTATAAAGCAGCTGCACAGTGATTCAGACAGCATTCATGGATGAGAACAGACCTTGCAATTCAAATGAAAATGCTGCTCTTCCAAATGATGCAGTGCAATGTGTTTCACAGCCTCCTCTGAATTACCTAAAGCTAGATGTGGCAAAGGAATACAATGCCTATGTTCCCATGCCTTGGTGCTAAGAGGCATTGTTCAGCCCATGCAAGTGCTTTATTCATCCTTGTTAGTGGCAGTGGGATGAGTAGACTATTTGACAATAGCCTCTGCACTTATCTGACCTACTTCTTGTGAGAGGTTTTAATAAGGCTTTTCCAGTTATTTCACCCTGTCATTTCAAATGGGCACAATTTTTCAGGATGTTTCAAGAAGCTTTGTCGCACAAACGACCACAAGCACCTCCACAAAAGGTGTAACATGGGCATTTAGTTAGATATGCCAGTTGAGGCTGTTCATTCCCAGAGAAATAAGAGGGATAAGAAAGCCTGCTGAAGAGTCCCTTCTGCCAACCCAGCTAGTGATCATTGCACACCTCTGCATTGTGTAATGGTGATGCAGTGGTGACTCAGCTGCCCAGAAAGCTTCCTCTTCTCCCCAGTTTTGGTTGGGGTGCATGTGGTCTCTTTGATATGTCAGTACAAGTTTTGCCAAGTCTTTGAAGAGCTCTTCAGTTCAGGCCACTGGGGTCCCACCTAAGCTTGGAGAGATACAGACACGATATAACAAATGTGTCCCATATAAATTGTGCAAAACTAGACTGAAGTAGTAGCTGCACGAGTTTGAAGTTAAAGGAAGGTTGGCTTCTCTGCCTCACACACTCCCTGTCCATGAGCAGGTCAGCAGTGAGTGCCAGCGCACTGGTAGGGACAGACAACTGCGATGGATGCCACTGAGGCCAAGGCTGAGTTAATATCACCATAAGCAATGGGCACTGTAGTCTGGTAACTTCAACTACCCTCACATGCCATTGAAAAAGCCACCACTGGTTTCTGTATTAGGGCCAGACTAATTTCCATGTCCTCAAATAATGTAAAAAAATTGTTCAGCTGAGGAGCTGGTCCCAAGGAGTCAGGAGTTGGACCCAATGATTCTCATGGGTCCCTTCCAACTCAGGATATTCTATGATTCTATGGTTCTATGATATCATGCAGTGGTGGACTCAATGCTGAGTGTTGTCCTGTTGGCCTCAGCCTGGAGTGTGAAAGACACTCGGCTGTGAGTGCCATCCCTGGAAGCAAAATTACATCCTGTCTTGAGTAAATTCAAAAAGGTAGAGGCCATTTCCAGTCCTGTATATATTTGCCTGATGCATTTGAAATGCGAGCTTGTGAAAGACTCTTGCAACCAAAACTTGAATCCAGTATCATTTCTTCAGAACACTTGCATCTGAATGGAGCTAGTGTCTTTTTTTTTCCTTTGTTTGCAATGGCTAAGTGCACTACCTTTAAAGTCTATTTTTCATCACTGACTGGGCACTCTTCACAGTATTGGGTTGTAAATATAAAGAATTATTTGTTTTGTAAACTTTTGTAAAAACAACAACAAAAAGTAATAATATTTTGGTAGGAATAATAAAAATCATATTATTTGGGTTATATTTATACATATGTGAAATAAATATACTATCAAAAAGTTGTATTTTATACAAAAAGTCAACTGTTACCTTTTGTATTCTATATACAAAGTTTTGTATGATATGATTGTTTATTTTTATCTGCAGATTTCAACTTTGGGTTTTGGGGGAGGGCAGAACGGGATCATGGTTAAATAGCTGGGTCTGACCCCAAGCTCACTGAAACCAATGGAGTTTTTCCATTGCCTTCACAGGGCTTTGAATCAAGCCTTTAAATCACCTTCAGATATGTTTCATGTCTGAAGCTCTCTGGAAACCTCAGTATGAAAACATTCCAGGTTTCAAATTTTTTCCCCGAAAAAGACTTTTATTATTATAATTATTGTTATTATTGTTATTTCAGCTGTTGGGAGGCAGGTGGGATCTATGTAACTGTCATGTCCTTGTTGCATGTATGTCTGCTTTATATTTTCCCCATATTATAAACCAGTGTTTCTCTATACAGACTGAAAAGAAAAGTTGCTGTACAGAAATGTTCGTGTTTATGCATTTTTACATGTGGCTGTATATACCTCCTAGTACTATGCAGTGACACTTATTTGACTCCATTTATTTTTCACCTAAACATGAATAGTATGTTTTTCAGTAGCTATCAAAACTCTGCCAAGTAAATCAATCAAAATTATCCCAAGTGTCTTATTTCTTACTATGAACTTTATATTGAATGTCTGTTTAGTCAACTGCTCATTCATCTGAGTAAATTAAAATTTTGATATTTTAGCGGGGGGGGGGGGGGGGGGGGGGGAGGTGATAAAAATGAACATCTGGCAGCTTCCAGGAGCTCAGCCTGCCTCTTTGCCAGAGCTGTGACATTTTCCTACTGACTGAAGACATGGTTTCACTACCAGAAAGGGTTAACAAATAATGGTTGACAAAAAATGCTATTTTAGCTCCTGGTGAATGGGTTGATAGAATGTTGCAGCAGAGCAATTTGCTCTGGGATTCTGTAAAAATTGAAGCTGAGAACTGTGTACCCCCAAGAGTCAGTTATCCCAAGAGGGCTGGCTAGGTCCTCAAGCCCATGCCCTGCTCTGGGTCATACCCTGGAGATATTTGCCCCACTCCCCTCACTATCAGAGACTCCTAATGAGAAGCCAGAAATCAGACAACTGGCTTCTTCTTTCCTCCTTGTCTCCTTCACATTACACCTCGTTCTAGCCTAAGGAGATTCCAGCCTATAGAGATTCCAGCATGTACATCTCGTTGGGTTGCAGGCTGTTTCACACAAGCATTCATCCCTACCAGGCTATTTTTAGAAGGTCAGCCCTGAGGAAGTGTCCCGTTCCTCGAGAGGCTTTCCGGGCTCCATCTCCAAGTGGGCGGCTCTTCCTGCCCCATGAACTGAGCAGAAGCGGTGGTGGAGGGGATGTTTCCAAGGGACAAATGTCAGCACATCACTGTCTGTACTCAAAGGCTGCCTTGTGCTATTTTGAGATGTAGGAAAAAAAATAGGGCTCCCCACATCTTAACTGCTTCACTGCTGGTGGTCATGATGAGGGACTGCCATGCAGCACACCCACCATTTTAGTTGCTGTCTGCTCACTTTCCCCTACAGGGTAAGTGGGAAGACACCTCCCTTGGCTGCTCCTCACACCACCAGCTCTACTGGTTGCTGCCCTCTCAGGTTTATTGGTTATGTTGCTCAGTGCCTCCATTATATCTGATTCCTACCCACAAATGGCTCCTTTGTCCTGCCCTGGAATCTGGTGCTTTCATGGGAGGGGTGGGGGAGGATGCTAGCAGATGCCTGGTGTCCCACTGCACAGGCTGTGCACATATTCCCGATCCTGGGTGGACACGCTGAAGTGAGGGGGTGCCCAGGAGGTCTGTGGCTCTCTCCTCACTTCAGCATTTCCAGCCCAGGTGATGGAAAGTACTTCCCTTGCACTCAAGGGGGGAAATAAGGCACAGTCCCACTCACCCAAAGGTAAATCCAAAACAAATCAAGAAACTCATATCTTAGAAGTGTGTCTTTTCTATCTCAGTTGTAAAGGCATAAGACAAGCAGGATGTGGGAAGCTCAGGCAGGGCTGCTGCCCACTAGCAGAAGGTACATCTTTGTCAGTGAGCTGAAAAACAGCCTGGGACCTCTGCCTGTCCCTGGAGTGTGGTTGTCTGTGCCACCAGACTCTGAGTCCCTGGCAGTGCTTAGGGGCTGTGACCACCCTCCTACAGGTCTCACAATCAAAAGCCATTCCCACTGTGGGTGCAGGACAAGAGGGATAAGACAGTATAAAATACAAGTCACCCTGCACCACATGGCTTCTGTGACAGAAAATGTCCCCAGGCCTGTCTCCTGTGCCCAGGGAGACGTAGCCAGTGAGGCCACATGGAGGGGGTGTGAGACATGAGTGGCAGTGACTGTTTTCCCTGCCTGGCCAGATGCAGCACAGCAGGAATTGCACCAGGCCCAGGCAAGGGCTGACCTTTCCCACTGCATCCAAATCACTTGGTGGGAACCATTACCAGCTTGGGCAGCACAGCCAAGAGCGCTGCTCCCTCCCACGGCAGCATGGACATCTGGCAGCTGCAGGGACAGGGATGACAGGGACAGGATTCCTCCTGCCACAATAAAAGTTTCAACCATGATAAAAGTTACTTCATTCTAATTTTTAAATGAGGCATTCTGGGTCCAAAAAAGGTTGGGCAAGGTAAAAAAAGCAGGTTTATTAGGACTTAGAAATTTCATCTTTAAAAAACCAAAACCAAAGCCAAACAAAATGGAACAACAAACAAAACAAAGCAAAACAAAACCAAGTCAAAACCAAAACAAACAAAAGAAACTCAACATGAAGTAGCATTTGATAAAGTGACATTTTCATTACAAGAATGTCATTTAAAAGAGCCAAAGCTTAGATGATTGTTTTTCCTGTAATGACCCAGCCTCCTGTGTGCTGAAGAGTGAGCACCCAGCAAGCGATGACCCTTGTGGGTGGACACGTGTGGATCTCCGTGTTGCTGGTGTGCTGTGTGCCTGGGTACCAAGGCTGGATGAGCTGCTCCAGCACCCTCAGGACAACAGTGGCAGAGGCAGCCTGAGCCTCCCAGAGCAGCAGGGATAAAGCCCTGCTTGGCTGCGCTGCCACTTGCCTGCTGAGCTGCTCACTCTCCCCAGACTAGTCCTGCATTCCTGCACGTGGCTTCAGACAACAAAGATACTCTATCGACATTTATTTTGGAGGGCTGCCTGACATGTTTTCACTCTGGTTGACTGGTCTGCCTTGCTTGACAGGTGCTTTGTTTTATCCTTCTTGTCCAGGAAGATGGGGAAAACCCTGTGGTGCTGTTCAGTATTTGGGTGAAATGCTGAATATAGGTGCATCCATGCACTCTTGTTGAAGTTAATAGATCTGATGGCAAAATCTACCCCTAGAGATCAATTTGAGATGAATGGTAAAATTCCTGGTTGTTGTGGAGGTCTATGAACGTAAGGGTTTGTCCTTGATACCACTATACTGGAGTGTCATGGTGAAAATAAAACCAGAGAATGTATTCAAATAGCCTTTTGTGCTTACCTGGCCTTTTAAGTACAACAGGGAAGTTCCAGTCTAGAGGCCTAAAAAAATTTCTTTTAGGTTTAATTAGTTAAGCTAGAGTCCTAGAGTACCAGCTGCTGGGAGATATTTATTAGAAATGATTGTGGTATTGTTTAAGGATCTGATATGCAAAGCTCCTTCTTGTAGATGTGGCCTATGGGGTTAGCTCCATAAGCTGATTTAATGAACAAATTGGCACACAACAGTCAGGTTAATATATAATTTGTATACCAATGAAATTTTCATCAGTGAAAGACATCTAACTATTTCAAGGAAAAATGTATGGGGAACTCTGTAATTTGGCTGCATCTCTTCAAATTTATTTGAGAAGGAAACTGTTAAGTTTTCCCAAAGTGCAGTTTTTAAAAAGAGAAACGTGTAAGAACGCACATGACATATTATTTGATTCCTCAATTTAGCAATGTCTTTAAGGTAAATACTCAAGAATGTCTAAACATACATGTGTTGGGCCATATAACCATTTGTGAATATACACAACATCTTTGTTAATGAATGTTTATTCCTTTACTGAGTTTCTTCTCCTCTTAAGGATTATGTTACTTGTCCTTCAGCAAGACTTCTAGCTAGCATAATGTTATTCATAGTACCTCTATGAATAACCTAACTCTATAGCAAATTAAAATCAGTGTAAAGAAACCCGTTGTACTCTCACTGATTTCCCTAGTGTGAACATGTTAGCCTTGGCCTGTTGGATAATCAGGCTCACAGGATGTGTACAGCAGAGGCAGGAACCCCATGTGTGTTTCCAAAAGGCTGATCAGAGCTGCAGGATTATGTGGTGTCCCCATTCACATGTGAGCCACAAGTTAACTGCATTAGTACAGCTAAAATCAGGATTTCGTGCATAACACGCCCTGAAAGTCAACTTTTCCCTTTACTTCAGTAACAAATCCACGAACCAAAAAGTTTGCCATAGTTACACAGCATCTTTAGGTTATTATAGCCACACTGGTCTTGATTAATTGTGTGGATCTTATGAGAGTAAAGCCATCACATGATAATCTTATTCATTAACTTTCCCTCCAATGCCAAAGACTTAATCTAGTGTGTTTTACCATATAAACTGCTAGCTTATGACATGCAAATACCAATAGACCATATGTTTATACTGGGGAGTTTAAAATCTTCTCACAGAAAATATATGGAGTGCTTTAGAAGGTTACAAAGAGAAGCTTCCAACAGATAACAAGATAGTGCTGTTTAAAGAAGTAAACCATTAAAAAATGTAATTAAAAAAACCTTCGTGAAGAACATTTCATTAGTTTCTCAACACTGAATATAGTCTTTTCATAAGTGACCCAAGTGCACAAAACAGCACAAAACCTCAGAAATATTCTTTTGTTACATCTGTCTTTCTAACCCTCAGTAGTGGCCCATTTTGGCTTACCCTTTTGGTTTTCTTTTACAAAAAATTTAGAATTGAGTCTTTTTTATACACTTTCCTGTGCCTCCAAAGCCTCCTGCTATTAGATTGGTTTTAGCTTTCAGCAAGTGAGAGTGTGCAATAAAGAAAAATTTCCCAATGGCCACCAACTCCACGGCACAGTGTAGCTCTGCTCTTGGATGACAGATTAGCTCCAGAAATGTTACTTTTTATTAAATTATCTAAGCTTTCATCCGAGAATGCTTTCACCAGGCTATTACAGCCTTTGATAAAAGGCAAGATTTTCAATAAGAAGCCCAAAGCCCAGATCCCATGACTACATTGATCGAAATGATGATGTCTGGCCCTCAGCTTTTAGCTTGTAGAATAGTGCCACCCTGGGAATATGATGTAGTCCAGGCAGAAATTAAGCAACACAAATGAACAGAAATCTAGAAAATATATAGAGGAGAATGAGGGTTCTTTAGCCTGAAGAAGAGATTCGAGTGGGAATAGGAAAGAGAGTCTTTGAATGGATAGATCATTGCTCCAGGATAAAAAATTGGGTATTTTCCACAATGATCTCTACAGACCAAGAAATCATAGCTTCAGGTTAGATGCTAGGTGGAATTTTGTAACAGGAAGGATGAGGATGGACTGTCTGAGGGGGGTATGGGGTCTGAAGGTCTTCAGGACCTGCTTTAA